CGCATGCGTGCCACGCAGGATCCTATGACGGAGCGCGTGGCCAATAATCGGCGGCGAGCGAGGGGGTGAAGTGAGAATGAGAAGGCCTCCTCAGAAGGCGGCGGGGTTTCTTAGAAGCCCCTACTGGCCTTCTGGGAAGTTGTTTGGCGTCTTCGGGGAAGGCCCAGGCAACTTTTCATAAGGCCAGGGAACTTCCGAGCCTTCTGAGAAGACCCGCCCCTCCCCACTTCCCCCCTGGGTGCGCCGCCCATGGAAGAGGCGCAGCCGCCGGGGTCTGGTGTTAAGTCGGGCCTGTCCCTCTACAGGGGGGATATTCAAAAGTAGCCAAGAAATAGTCTGGGGCCTGTTTTTGCAGTATTTTGGGGCATCTTTGGAGCATTTTTGCGGTATTTTTGATTTTTCGCCCAACATCCTTCTGTAGGGGGACAGGCCCGACCGAAGTCTGGTGCCGCGGCCGCCCCGCCCGCGCCCCCCGCGCAGGCTCCGGCGGCGGCGCCGGCCGCGCTTTTTCACCGGGGCGGCCTCGGCGGTGCGGCAGGAGGGCCCGCGGCGGCCTCCTCCCGCGCAGGGCCAGGTCGGCGCCGCGGCGAGGGCCATCGCCGAGGCCAAGGTCCAGGCGGCGCAGGCCGAGGTCGGAGTCGGACGAAAGGGGGGGGATTGGGAAAAGGGGGGGGGCTGCGAAATTTGCGGCGGCCCATTCCTCGATACATAGCCGCCTCCGGCGCCAGGAGGCGCCAGGAAAATCAGCTACGTGAGCTGATTCTCACCCCCCCCTTTGCTATCCCCCCCTTTCGCCCGACCCGACAAGACTCGGCGCCGCTCGGACGCGTGCATTTTGTGTCGGCGGGGGCCATCGAGGAGCATCCTGGATCGAACTGCAAGAAGGACACGCGCGAAACCTGACGCTGCACGAGGGCAGAACGCCCGAGCGACGGCAGGGAGGGGGATGCTGAGATCTCGGCCCAGCAGCAGCAAGGAGTGGCCGCGTTACCAGGGGGCCAGGCCGCTGATCCTCTGTCCTCAAGGTCAGCGGCGGCGTGCGATGCCTCAGCTGGCGGCACGGGGCCACGCCATGCACCGCGTCTGTCTTCGCGGGGTGTGCAGCTTGATGGCTCAGCCACCAGTGCGAGCACCTCGCCTTCCTCACTTGCCTCGTCACCCTGCACTTCTGCGTCGGGGGGCGATGTCAGCGCGCTCTCTTTTTCAAGCATCGCGACGTTGGGGAACGCCGCCTGGAAGCATGCCGTCTGGCAGCGCACCAGTCGCACCGACGGCTTCATGGGTTTTGTGGAGGCCCATCTTCCGGTCTGCACGTCATGGGTGGGCTGGCAAGCTCAAGCGGCCGATGTGTGCGGCCTTCCGCAACTTCGCGCGCGTTGCAGGTCGAGGCTGCAGTGGGGCAGGCCGAGGCCCTGCCGATGTAGGGGGAGAAGCTCTCTCTGGCCAGGCAGCGTCTGCAAGGGACCAGGTTGCCACTCGAAGCTGAACGCGTTCCCGATCTTGGTGCTGACGGCAGTGCAGGCTACTACGACGGATTCTTCCCTCCAGTCCTTCAAGGATGCTCCATCGTGATCCTCCTTTACACTACCCCCTCACCCTGCAGCGTTGTTCCGAGGAGCCAGCGCATCTCGTCTGACGAGGCTGCGTGCGTTCGGGCGAACGTTGGAGTGTCCGCGAATATGCGTTGGCGGTCTTAACCTCCGCTCGAACAGTTGCGCGCTTCAAGATTTCTTCAGCGAGCCCGCGGGCAGATTCGCAGAGCGCCAGATGAGCACACTTGTTGCGCCAGTAGCGGGCAACGTCACATTGGCTTGGTGACCTCGGGCCCAGGCAGCGGCAGTTCTTGGGGTTGATGTTCCGGCTGGGCATGCTGTTCCCTGGGCCTGGGCCCCTCGAAGCGCCCTTCGGGTTTGTCTCAGACATTCTTGCAGGCATCGGGGGTGGACAGACCTCCTACCCTGACACGTCGATTAAGGAATTGGCCGTTTTCGGTTCGCGAGAGGGCGTCGCGGCCGTCATTTTTGCGGGTCCAGGTCCGTCGGTTTCGGTCCCAGGCCGTTTTCACTAAGGGGAGGTTTACTAAAGGGAGGTTTGTCCACCGCCGAAAGCAGCTTGAAGCTGGGACCCTCGTCAACGTCCCCAAGTTGCCCCAGACTGCCCGACCCGGCTCCGGGCCCTCGGCGGGCTCGAAGTCTGGCCGGTCTCGCGCGCCGCGCGCGTGCAGCGCAGCCTGGGCCAAGGAAGACGAACTTCCTGAATCTTTGAGCTCTTCGTCAAGGGCAGAAAAAACGCCCCTACCCTGGTTTACGAGGCGCTGTGCGCTGAAACTCCTGTGCGCTGACAGGGTAGACCCTGCGTGATGTGCCGCGTCCTGGCGGCTCTAGGCTTCGGGGGTTCCCAGGAGGTTTACAGACCACGCACTTGTAACCCAGGGTAGCGCAGCCTGGGCCAGGGAAAGCAAGCTTCCGAATCTTTTTTGAGCTCTTCGGCGACCTGTTTGAAACTCGGCTCAGAGCGACCCAAGATGGCCCAAGAGGCGCCCAAGGCACCCGGGAGGCCCCAAGAGGCTCCCAACAGAGCCACCCCAAACGGCCCCCAAGAGGCCTCCAAAATTGCCTTCAAGAGGCCCCCGGGAAGCCTCCAACGAAGTCCAAACGAATTTCCAAGAGGCCTCTAACCCAGTTTCCCTGGCGCGCACCTGGGAGCAGCTTCTGAGCTCGACCTGGGCGAGTTGGGCCCATGGGCCGACGAAGCCGGCTTCTCCATTGCTCTTGTGGAGGTAATGGCTACTGCGTGAGGGTGTTTCTTAAGAGCTATCACAGGAACCACTGCGACCAATTCAACAAGTATTTCATTCAACTAATTCAACTTGAATTATGTCCGCGTAAGTTAGATGGGGCGAGCCGGTTAAAGTTGCGCGGTACGTTGCATTGTGTGTCACTTGGTTTTACCCGTTGCAGTCAATTTGTTCGGAGCATGCATCTTACATTGGCCCCGTGCCGTCTCCACAATTCTACATTGATACTGCCAAATAATACGAATTGGTTGTACGAGTTGTTTGTCGAATTGCTTGTTGCAAATATGGTAGTAGTAGTGGCGTCACTTTGATGGGACATCCTCGCCCGCTGGTGCAGAGGTCGTCGGTCCAGGGCCAAACATCGCGGCGAAACATCGCGACCTTCCTCGCAAGGCCAAGCTGTCTGAGCTGGCGCTGGCCATCGCCAGTGGCGGATGCTTGGCGCGGGAGATGAAGTGCGACTTGGGCTTGCGTGAGACCCCTACTTGCTTGAGGTGCAAGCCGCATCCCACGGAAATGAATCATCGAGTCTGGCTTTGTCAAGCTAATCACGGAGCCAATGCCTGCAGTGTTGCGGGCGAGCTGGCGCTTGCTCAAGCAGATGCAGACCCCGGCCACTGGCTGCGGGGTTTCATGCCCGCGTCTTGGACCATAACGCCACCGCCAGCAGCAGCCGAGCAGCTCGTGTTCACATGTACTAGTTGCTAGGGCCGCGTCCCAGGCCCCGTGGGGACAGGGGCTGCGGAGGCCCCTCCGCTGCTCTGTGGTGATGCGTCAAGGGGCAAAAACAGTCGCGACGCCTCACTTCCTCGAGTCGGAGATGGGCTCGTGGTCATCACGGATGCTGTCTCATGCAAAGAAGGGGCCAACGCTTCAGGCCCAATTTTTGTTTGTGTGGGGGGGGGGAGCAGACCGTCCTGAGCTGTGAATTGAGAGCGCTCGAATGGGCAGTCATAGGCTTAGTAGGACCTACCATGTACGTGACGGGCACCGAGGCTGTCCTTGCAGATTGGCATAGCAAGCAGCATCTTTCTGGTTCGGGAGACTTGAGCTCACTTTCGAGTGAAGCGGGCAAGCATTTCGGGACCAGGGATCCTTCGGAGGTTGTGGTGGTGCAAAACCCCTCCGCACTGGGCCCCTGGGGAAGCGGCCCGCAGGCTGTGCCATGATCCGATGACTGTTGGCAGCGGAGTCGCCGATGCGCTGGCAGATTGCGCAGAGGACAGGCGCGTAATTGAGCCGAGATGCCAGCGATACTTTGCAAGATTGAACGCGGAGCAGGACTGACCAGGAGACGACTCTTGCGAGCCATTTTCGAGGCAGCCGCAGCTGAACAACATGCTGAGCGTGAAGCTCGCGCCTCTCGTTTCCAGGCTAATCTCAAGGCTGATGCCACTCCGCCTTATCCCCTTCCTCCTGTCCCATTTGCTTCTGCACGGTTTAGCACGCCACACGTCCTTGGTGAGTGTGGTCTCCAGTGTCGGCACGGTAAGAGTAGGGCCACCGCCGCTCCTACTGAGCAGTGGTTGGCCACTCTTTGCGATTCTCTCTCGTCGCTATGGGTTCTCGTGTCCCACGCAGGGATCCAGTGGTATATTGCTGGGGGGTGGGCGCACGGAACTCATAACTTGATGCACCGTCACGCTCTTGGGGTCTGGTTCTGTGGGACGTGCAGTTTCTATTGTTCCGCCAATTTTCGGGTTGGGGTTCAACAGTCGTGCTCTAAGCCCCTGGATGCTACCAGGAGGCTGAGGCGTATCTATAGGAGTCCGCATTCGTCTGCTGCGCTGCTAATTCGTCTGAGGCGCGTCTATAGGAGCCCCTGGATGATACCAGAAGGCCTCTGCTGCGCTGCTAATGCAGTTCGCATTCGTCTTGCGAGTTGAGTTGGCGCCGTTATTTGGCTGGCCCTATCCCTACCCCTCACCCCACTCCCTCCTCCTTGTCCCTCCCTCTACCCCCTCTTCCTCCTCCTCCTGCCTTCTCCCTCCTTCTCCTTCCGCCCCCCTCCCCCCCTCCCTCTCCTCGCCCTGCTCCTCTCCTCCCCCTCCTCCTCCTCCTCCTCCTCCTCCTCCTCCTCCTCCTCCTCCTCCTCCTCCTCCCGATCCGCCTTCCCCCCCCCTGTGCTCTGCTCGTGTTCCGCTCGCCCCCCCCCCCCCCCCCCCCCCCCCCATGTGCCAGCCCTGCCTCGCCCGGCCCCCGGAGGACGGCACCCCCATCCTGGAGCGCATCGAGCACCGCGTCTCCTTCCACGACAACCGCGACCGAGCTCGCGCCCCGGCGGCGGGGAGCGCACGCCTGCGTGCGCGCCGGACGTTCCCTCCTTCCTCAGGAGCGACAAAAGGACGTACACGTACATGAATCCACGCTGGTTTCGAGAGTACGCATTGCGCAAATGTTCGTATAACGCGGCCGGTCTCGCGGATCGAGGGGCCGTGTTCATGTACATAGCTGGGCGCGTACGTCCTTTGTGGGCCCCCTACTTCCTCCCCTCCTCGCTGGCCTCTCTTTCTCCTTCCCCGTCTTCTCCCCATCGTCCTCCTCACTGCTGCCCCCCGTCGCCCTCTTCCTTTTTTTTTTCCTTCTCCTCCTCCTCCTCCTCCTCCTCCTCCTCCTCCTCCTCCTCCTCCTCCTCCTCCTCCCCCTCCATTCCTTCTCCTCGTTGATAACTTCCCTCTGTCGCACCCCGATGCCAGCTTTTAGGGCGGGCCCGGCGTTTCGCCGGAGACTTCCTCACCATTTATGACTCCGAAGCTACGAAAGTGACAACGGTTTCACAGATGAAGGGCGGGTCGTTTTCAAAATGTGGCTCTCGCCTTAGCGCCGCGCACTTTTTTTTTTTTTTTTTATTATTTTTTTTATTATTTTTTTTTAAAAAAAGAAAAAAACAAAACATTTGCAAGAGTTTCACGGAATGAGGGCGGGCGTTGTTTTATTCATTTAAAAAGTGGCTCCTGCCTGAGCGCCGCGCACATTCGTTTTAAAAGTGTACACGAGTTTCACGGATTGAGGGCGGGTGGTTTTCAAAATGCGGCTCTGGTCTTAGCGCCGTGGACATTCGTTTTCAACGTTTGCAGTAGTTTCACGGATTGAGGGCGGGTGGTTTTCAAAATGTGGTTCTAGCCTTAGCGCCGCGCACACCTGCTTCAAAAGTTTGCAAGAGATTCACGGATTGAGGGCGGCTCCTTTCAAAATGTGGCTCTCGCCTTAGCGCCGCGCACATTCGTTTTAAGCATTGCAAGAGATTCACGGGATACCATGATGAACGTACCAGCAATGGTGTTTTGGAAGGCTTCAGGATTATGCGGGCGCAGCAGTTATGTTGATTCGCGGTCTTGAAGCCCCAAAAATGGCATGGCGTTCTGGCACGTTTCTGGATCGTCAAGACGCAGCAGTCAGGTTGATACGTGGCATTGAGATCCCGAGAACAATGTTTTGGCACGCTTCAGGATCTTCAAGCGGTTGTCTTCCAACTATGCACTTCCCTCAATGGAAATGCACCGTTGAAGGCGCCTTTGCAGAGGGAGCTCGGAGGAGCGTTCACTCCAACATCGTTGATGACTCTTGGGTTTACACTGGTCCTGCTCCTTCTCCTCCTCCTTCCCCTCCTCCTCCTCCTGCTCCTCCTCCTCCTCCTCTCTCTTCTCCTCCTTCTCCTCCTCCTCCTCCTCCTCCTCCCCCTCCTTCCCCTCCTCCTCCTTCTCCTCCTCCTCCTCATCCTCGTCCTCCTCCTCCTCCTCCTCCTCCTCTCCCTGACCCCCGGACCGCCTCGTCATCACCCTCATCTGGCTCCCTCTCTTGATGCTGCCCCTCCTTCTCCCTTCTCCCCTTCTGGCTATGTGGAGAAGGAGGATGAGGAGGAGGAGGAAAAGGAGGAGGAGGAGGAGACGGTAGTCGTCGTAGCACCGCTGTCGTTACCAGCGCACCAGCGGTGTCGCCGCAGCCGTCGTCGTTGAATTCGTGTGCCGATCGGTTTGCGCCCGAGGCGTTGAGCTTCCCGGAACTCGCGAGGGACCAGCTGGCCCACTACGCAGTGCTTCATGTCACCTTGGTGAAGGCGACGCCGCGGAGACCTCCTTGTCGTCGCCGTCGTCCTCCTTTGTCCTTCTCATCCGCGTGTGCATTGCCTCTCCTGCCTGCGTTTGACTGCGCCGCTGCATCCGCGGCTGCGCGGCGCCACCACATCCGAATATCATTCCGTTTAGTGACCTGTATGTTTTAACACGTTGTTTGCAGCTAGCAGTTGCGCCGTTTTGAAGCTATGAGTCCGATGCGTGCGCTCTGCAGGAGCTGTCGCCTTCTGCAACTAGTACGCTGATGCAAACCCGGTACTGCACTGTTGAACAGCATAGACCATCCACTTTTACAACACCGTCCCAAACACCTCGAAGGGCTCTTTCGTGACACTTGCACTGCCGTTGCATGGCCAAGTTCACGTACGTTTCATGATTTCTTGCAGAAGCCACTTATTTTCATCCTCCTGATTCTCTTCCGCTTCCTCCCCCTTGACAGTCAAAACTCGTCATATGGACGGGCCGTTGGCGCAAGAAGCATAGTTTATGTTTCCTCTGTCCGTTTGGCCAGACTTGTTCTGGCGCGTGGGAGGCAGGGGTGCTGCCTGGCCAGAGCCCCTTCAATCCTTGCGTAGGTTGTTCGACCGTCGGCGAATTGTGTTCCATCTTGGCGCGTTCTAGGTCCCTGCATTCTTACGCCCTATCGCTATGTATGCTTGTTCTCACCCGGCAGGTTTGGGCTGTCAGATTTCAAGAACAGGCCCCCCGGCCAACCCAACCCTGCATGCCGCGGCCGCCAGACCCCAAGTTGTCCCGATGCTCCCCGAGAGTCCCGGGTGTCCCGCCTCGCGGCCGGCCAACCCCACCTTGTATACCGCTGCCGCCAGACCCCAAGTTGTCCCGATGATCCCCAGGAGTCCTGGGTGTCCCACCTCGCGCCCTCGACGAACACGAAAGAACACAACATGACAGAACAGAACATGTCAGAACGGAACAGAGCATGACAGAACATGACATAACATACCAGATCAGAACATGACAGACCATAATCCATAACACAACATAACATAACATAACCGAGCATTACATAACTCATCTTGATATAACATACCATGCCATGTCTCAATCGCAGAACATGTCATACAACGGCAGCGGAGCATAGCGACAACGAACACGACAGAGCACAACTTGACACAACGGAAGATCACGTAACATATTACGTGCATGACAGGCCATGTCATAACATAACATAGCAACGTCATGACAAAATGGAGCATACCACACCACATAACATACAAGAGCAGCACAGGCATATCACAACGCAGCACAACAGAACCGAACATATCATGACCTTAAACTAACATATGATATCCGGACCCAACATCACATAACATATCATCAGACGACAGCAGAGCATATCGACGATGAATACGACATAACACAGCAGGACCCAACATAACACGACAGAAGAGAACAGCAGCATGACATAACATGCGGAACCAATCATAACAATGCTACGACACCAGAGCATACCAGGACGTCACATGACATACCAGAGCAGAACATACCATAACATATGATGACATAATGCAGCATGACATAACATCACCGAACATACCATAGCACCCATTGGCATACCGTATCAGTTCATGACACAGCATCATAGAACATATCATGACACGACAACCTAGCATAGCGGCATGTACTAGCACATCATATCATAATATACACTACAGAGCCGATGTGTCAACAAACGTAGCATCACATGACAGACCAGAGCAGAACATGGCATATCAGAAGCTGACATACCACAACATATCATGACATAGCCGGGGATAGCTTAGCACATTTGACAGAACATATCATATCCTGACCCAGCATCACAGAACATATCATAACACGACAGCAGGGCATAACGACGACGCACACGACAGAGCACAACATGACACAGCATAGCATGACACAGCACATCAGGCTGCGGCTCTCGATCCGTTTTCGAAGCTTGTTTTTTTCGAAGCTTGTTTTTTCGAAGCTTGTCTTTCGCCCTGGGGTTTCTTTCAATTCCTTTCGTCAACAGCTCTGGGGTTGTTGGATTTGGAGAACGGAGTTCGCCACCCAGCCCGACCGCCTCACTGGCCGAGACCACATGGCCTCGCACTCAGCGCTCCGCCAATTAGGAGACTGCGCGCCGTCGGGAACAAGCGCTTAAGGTTTCGGTGGGGATCGCTCGAAGCATACTCATTCACTTTGCTTCTTCGCTTCAGCTTCATCCTCCCTCCCTTTCTCCTGCTGCTCCGCCGCTCCTCCACAAATGCTGACTTGACAACCTGCGCTTCCCCTCTGTGCACAGTGAACGGCTCTAGCTACACAGCTAGAGCAAGGCACCCGCATGGCGCAGAACCAAAATAAAAAGGACCAAGGACGGCACGCGCCAGGCACTCAGTTGCAGCCGCGCGGTGGTATTTAGAACGTAGCCACCACGGCACAGCATGTTCCCAGCACGAGATCATGAGCTATACATGCACACGCACAGAAACCAGGGGAAGGCTGGCAAACCCGTGGCTGCTAAAACGGAACTCTTGGAAATTGTTAATTTCTTCTGGGGAGCAGCCCGTTTATTATTTAGCCCGCTGGGTTTCATTCTGGGAATTTGTTTTTTCTTCTGGGGAAGCAGTTTTCGCAGCCATGGATTTGCCAGCCCTCGCCCAGCTTCCGACACACACACACACACACACACACACACACACGCACACGCACTACACCAGTCTGTATCCTAACATGAGCACGCTAGGCCGGACGGGAGCCGCCGCAGAGGCCTTGAGCTCAAACTCCTCCTCCTCCTCCTCCTCCTCCTCCTCCTCCTCCTCCTCCTCCTCCGCTCGACGGACGCCAGAGAGTCGCAGGCGTGGGGTTGGCCTGAGAGTTGCGTCGGGCCACTGTGTAGCGGCACTCCTTGCTGCTGCCCCGATTCGCAAGCTTTTCAGGAGCCCAGCGGGACCTCATAGAGAACCCCATGCTGCGTCGCCGCCGCCGCCGCCGCCGCCTCCTCCTCCTCCTCCTCTTCCTCCTCCTCCTCCTGCCCCCCCCCCTGCCAGAGCGATGCGGCGGATCCCTCCCACTGTCATCCTCTCGTCCACTCCCCGCTGTCCGTCCCCCCCGCTTGATTCGCACCGCGACGTTGTTGCCGGCGGGGCGTCGAGGGCCCACACTCTGTTGGTGCATGCCGCTCTCGCCATGCCCCGCTGGCTGCCCGTGGCGGCAGCCTGCGCTTCTGCGCCTCACCCCTCAATATCGTTTAACCGACCTCTACAGTGGGGGCCCATGCCAAAGAAACACCCTGCTTTGCCTCCAGGGTGCCTTGGGTTTCTTGGGTTTCGATGGTGTTGCTGTGGACAGCGTGACGCTCCCGCACCAAAAATTCAATGGACGTCCTGGGGTCTCAGGGTTGGGTTTCTTGTGGAGGGTTTCTTGTGGTCGGGCCTCCATTTTAGCAGACCCGTATCCCCATCCCCATCCCGAGCCCAATTATCCCACAGCCCTAGTTGGGGATATACCTTTCGAAACCCGAAGGGAGCAGCCTATATGCCCATCCAGGGGGGCAGATCGGCCAGTGAGGCCCAGGCCAGGCCAGTGGTGATAAGGGTTCGGTGAACAATGTTCAACCGTTCCAGAGCGTTCCAGAACGCTCTCAGAGTGCTCTGGAACGCTCTGAGAAGGCCGCGGTGCCCGATACATCCTCCAGAGCCGCCGCATCTCAGAGATCCTTTGTCCTCACTTGAACTTGTCCTCGCCCTGGCTTCGTCTTACTGTGCTTCTTCGTAGGCGCGCTAACGGCGATGCAGATAACGGCGGCATAGGCTTCGGCATTGTAGGTGGTGGTGCTTCGTGGCCAGTGTGCGTTGTGTAGGAAAGGCTTGCTCGTATTTTCCTGCACTGTGTTCTGCGCGAGTGGGCCGCTGACCGCTGTTAGCGCGGCCCCGGTCTTTCTCGGACCTGCCCCCTCGGAGGCAGGCCGAGCCGTGCTGCATGCTTCTCATTCTCGCTTTCATATGCTCCCGGCCTCGAGCCCCATGGCAAGAGTCGGGGGCGGAAAAGAGGGGGGTGATGATTAGGGGGGGTGGATATCATGGCGGGGGGCATAATATTTCCCCAGATTTCATGGCGCCTCTTCTTATTTCACTACGTCCCTGGCCCCCCCGCTGGGCCGCGCACATGCCGCCAGTCATGATTTGCACCCCCCCCCTCTTGGACACCCCCCTCTTGGCCGCTCCCGAGCAAGAGGCCACCGGGCTCGTCGCCGCGGACGAGTACCTCGTGTCGGAGGTGGCCAAGCTGGGGGGGGCGAGTGGAGGGCCAATCACATGGGGAGGCAGCGGGCGCGAGGCAGGACGAGGAGGATAGGGTGCGCGACTTCAGCAGGAGGAGGAGGAGGAGGAGGAGGAGGAGGAGGAGGAAAAGAGGAGGAAAAGAGGAGGAGGAGGAAAAGAGGAGGAGGAGGAGGAGGAGGAGGAGGAGGAGGAGGAGGATGTCCACGACAGCAAACTATCCTTCCTCGTTGGTACGCGCGGCGACGAGCCAGCTGGCACGCTCCGCGGACAAACGGCACCCTGAAGTGCAAATCATGCAATTGATGCCCGTTCGGGTGGCCAGCTGGGAGATCGAATTTGTAATGGCGCTACACGTAGTGAGCGCCGTGGCAAGACGCAGGGCGAGAGGGAGGAAGGAGGGCGAATACGATGAACACTACAGCAAGGATGGGTGAACTGACAGAAGTGGGGCGGATAGGAAACGGCGGAGCTGGCATGTTTTGCAGGCTGCCACCGTGTTTGGATCGTGAACCAGGAGACACCGTTTTTAACATCTACCATGGTGCAAGTGGTGGGTTGGAGACTTCTTGGGTGCCTGTGGGGGTCTCTGGGGTTTCTCAGGGAGGCGTTGTGGATACAGTTTTGGTGCCTTTGGGGTGCGATTTTGAGGCGCTCGTGGGCCTCATTGCAGGCTTCTGGCGGCCTCTTGGGGCCTCGTGGGGGCTTCTCGGGCGCCTGCTGGCAGTCTGAAGGGTCGTTTGGGGATGGGGAGCTCGAAGTGTCAGTTCGAGTTCCCACCCTTGCACCTCTTGGAGCCTGGGGCGGTGGCGGGCCGTCTTGGAGGCTTCTTGGGTTCTCTAGAGACCCTCGTGGGCCGCCTTTGAGTTTTCTTGGGGGCCTTGGGCCGTCTTGGGTGAAGCTTTGGTGTCTCCAGGGCCGTCTTGGACGCTGTCAAAGCCCAAGAGTCGAATCTTCCAAAAATATACATAATCCTGGGGGGGGGGTGGGATTGCGTCTGCGGGCTCTGCTTGGGGTGTTTTTGAAGCCTGGGCCGCCTGGGGGAGCTGCTGGGCCGTCTGGAAGCCATCTTGAGCGCCTGGGCCGTCTTGGACGGTGTGGAGGCCCAAGGGGCGAACCTGCCAAAAGTACATTTTTTCCTAAAAAGGGATGGGCGTGCTTTATATCTTGGCCCGTGGTCTCTGGCCGTGTCTCGTCGTAACCTGGTCGTAGCTCGTGTTGTCCCATCGTGGTTTCTGGTCGTGGTCTGTGGTCGTGGCTCGTGGTGTCGGGTCTCAGTAGTGGTCTCCCGTCGTGCTGAGCAGTGCCTGATGTGTTGTGTACGCTTTCCGCCCATCCCGCCACCGCGCCTGGGTTGTAGATCGCGGGCCTCCTGGATGTTCGTTGGGAGGTCGTGGGAGGGCTTTCGGGGGCCTTTCAGGGGTAGTTTTGAGGCCTGTCGGGGGCCGTTTTGGGGGCCTCTCGGGGCGCCTTGGGTGCCTTTGGGGGCCTCCTGGGGGCTTCGTAGACCCTCCCGAGGGCTTCTTACGGCGGCAAGTTCGACTTGTCCGTTCGGGTTCCCCGTCCTGGGCCCCGCTTGAGGCTCTGTTGGGGCTCTCTTGGCCTGTTCGCGGCGCCTCTTGGGCCGTTTTGGGGCCTTCTGTGCCGTCTTGGGGCCTTCTTGACGGGGCGGTTGGGCCGTGGGCCGTCTTGGACGCCGTGAGCTCCAAAAGTCGTGAAGGCTAAAAGTTTAAGATCTCCGGAGGGATTTTTACGTTTTTTGGCTCTTGGGGCCCTTTTGGGAGACTTCTCGGGCCTCGCCTGGGGCGTCTTGGAGGCCTGCTGGGCCGACTGGAATCCATTTGGAGCGTCTGGGGCTGGTCATACGGCAACTCGGGGCCGTCTTGGATCGACTAGACGTAAGGGTGACCTCTCGCCGGAGTGACCTTCGGTGCGGGCCCAATGGGGTCCCCCCATCGCTTAGCGCGAAGCGGCAGCGGCGGCTTGTGCGTTTGAATTTGGCCCCTTCGTCCCCCACTCGCCCCCCTAAAGCCGCGCACCAAAGGTCACTCTTGCCTAGGGGCACTCTTGCGTGTAACCGATTGGGACGTCTTGAGAGCTTTTGGAGCCATAGCAAAGCAACTAAAAAGCATTGGACGAGACTCGATCCCCCCATGATGCGTTTCCGGGTGGGTCGCGCTGGGGTCGTCCCAGGCCAGGGGGGGGGCGTCGAATTGTCGGTGTGGGTCCCGGGGGGTGGGGGGTTGTAGGGGGATCAATCTCACACGCCTGGCGACCCACAAGGTGCTGGCGGGTTATATATGGTGATGCTGATGCTGATGCTGATGCTGATGCTGATGGTGATAATGCTGCTGCTGATGATGATGATGCTGATGCTGATGCTGATGTTGCTGATATTGATAATGATGAAGATGATGGTGATGATGATGATGATGATGATGATGATGATGATGATGATGATGACGATGATGCCGACGATGATGTTGATGCTGATGGTGATGCTGATGCTGCTGATACTGATGACGGTGTTCCTGCTGTTGATGGTAATGCTGATGCTGATGCTGCAGCTGCTTCTGATGATGATGATGATGATGATGATGATGACGGTGGTGATAACTGATGATGATGATGCTGCTGATGATGATGATGCTGATGATGATGATGGTGGTGGTGATGATGATGATGATGCTGCTGCTGATGATGATGATGGTGATGCTGATGATGATGATGATGATGATGATGATGATGATGATGATGAGCCTGGGTATTGTCATTGTGATAATGCTGCTGCTAATGATGATGGTGATGGTTCTGACAATGATGACGATGATGATACTTGAGCAGGCCGGAGGATGTCCCCCTTGATGCCCAGATGACAAATGCTAAGTGTCGTTGGCTTTAGCGGATGCGGACGCAGCGATCATATCGCACTCGCGTCGAGATGGGGTGCCGCATATGTTATGGGAGGCTGCGGGAGTTGGCCAGGCCCGCTGTGGCGCTCGAGCACCCACATGTTATGGAGGCTGCGGGAGTTGGCCGGGGCAGCTGTGGCGCTCGAGCAACGACATGTTATGGGGGGGGCTCGGAGAGGTGGCCAGGCCCGCTGTGGCGCTCGAGCTCCCGACTTGGACACCGCGGTCGTTTTCCCTCCTCCCTCCTTCCTGATCCGCCTCTTCCGTCCTCCCTCCTCGTCCTCCTCCCTCCTCGTCATCCTCCCTCCTTCCTCCTCCTCCTCCTCTTCCTCGTCCATCCTGCCTCTTCCTCCTCCCGCCCTCCTTGTGCCTCCCTCCCCCTCACTCGTCCTCCTACTCTTCCCTCCGCCCTCCTCCCTCTCCCGCCTCCCTTCCACTTCCCTCCTCCCTCCTCTTCCTCCCTCCTCCGCTCTCCTCCTCCCCTCCTCCTGACTCTTCGTTTACCCTCCTCCTCTTTCTCGTCTCTCCTCTTCTTCCTCGTCGTCGTCCTCTCCCTCCTCTCCGTCCTTCCTCCCTCATCTTCCTCTTCGCCCGCCTCTGGTTTGTGTTTCCATACTCGTCCCCGTGTGTTGTGTCTCTCGGTAGGGGAACCCCTCCCCCGTAGAATCATAATCAGAGAAACTATGGATTCAGTTTGTGTCGGGGTTTCGGTTTTCTCCTATGCCTGGCGGTCCATAGGGGCCAGACGGATCGCGAGGAGGCGGACGAGGAGGAGGAGGAGGAGGAGGAGGAGGAGGAGGAGGAGGGGCCATCTGTGGTTGTGGCTCCTCGCGTTTCTCCGGCCTGTCTCTCTCCCCTCCCCCTCCTCCCTCTCTCCCTAAACCCCCCTCCCTCCTCCCCCCCCCGCCCCTCCCCCCGAAATAGGACGAATTACAACCGACTGGTCCCAATTCCAACCGTTCGGAGCGAATTGCAACCATACATGGGACCAATTACAACCATGGGATCTTCAGAAGTACTTCTTTCTTATTCAGAAGTACTTCTTTCTTCTTGAGAAGTATTTCTTTCTTCTTCAGAAGTCCTGTTCATTCCTTAGGATTCCTTAGGGTTCCTTTTGATTCCTTAGGACTCCTTAGGATCCTTAGGATTCCTTAGGGTCCTTGGGATCCCTAAGGATCCTTAGGATCAGGACTCCTCCGGATTCCGTCAGGAATCCTTAGGAATATTTGCGAATCCATAGGAATCCTGAAAAATCCTTAGGGGAAGGGTGCGCTTTGGGGGCCTTCTTGGGGTCTCTCTGGGCCACTCTTAGGGCCCTTTTGGGGCCTTCTTGGAGCCCTCCTGGGGCCCTTATTGGCTTTTCTTGGCGCCCATTATAAGCCCTAGAAGGGCCAACGTTCGAGGGCTGCAGGGGGGCCCAGCAGAGTGACGTCCTATGGGGGCTCAGATTGGACCTCGCCATCCCTGGGGGGGGGGCTGCGATCTGCGAAACTGTCGCCACTTTCGAGGGGTGCTGGTGGGTCCAGTGGACTGGCGTCCTACAAGGGGCCCTAAAAGAGCCCGAAACGGCAGCAAGAGGGAAAAGCAACCGACAAATATGTATTCTTTCGGATGGGGGCGGGAAAAACAACCGAACAATATTTGATTTTTCGGAAGGGGCTGCTTTGGGGGCCTTCTTGAGGTCTCTCTGGGCCACTCTTAGGGCCCTTTTGGGGCCTTCTTGGAGCCCTCCTGGGGCCCTTATTGGCTTTTCTTGGCGCCCATTCTAAGCCCTAGAAGGGCCAACTTTAGAGGGCTGCAGGGGGGCCAGCAGAGCGGCGTCCTACAAGGGGCCCTAAAAGAGCCCGAAACGGCAGCAAGAGGAGAAAGCAACCGACACATATGTCATGTTTTGGAAGGGGGCGGGAACACAACCGAAACATATCATATGTTTCGGAAGGGGCTGCTTTGGGGGCCTTCTTGGGGTCTATCTGGGCCACTCTTAGGGCCCTCTTGGGGCCTTCTTGGAGCCCTCCCTCCTCCCTCCTCATCCCTCCTCCTCCTCCTACTCCTTCCTCCTCCCCCTCTCCTCCTCATCCTCTTCTTC